TTATCAGCTGAAGAAAAGGCCCAAGGCAAGAACATACTTGGTGTATCAGAGGAAGGTAGCAAGAAGGCTGTGTTGTAGAAGTAGAGTGATCTAAGCATAGATGAGTAGAAGACGTCAGAGGGGATGAGGGACCAGGAGATAACCATCTAGGGCTTTGAGGCTGTTGGAAGGAGTTTAACTTTTATTCTGAGTGAAATATGGAAAGATGGCAGGGTTTAAAATAGCACAGGAGTAATATAATCTGACTTGTTTTTTCAAAGTTTTGCTCTGGATATTGTGTGGAAAACAGGTAAGTATAGAAGGGGGTGAGTATAGAGTAAGAGAAATCCATTAGGAGAATATTGCACTAAATAGGTGAGAGATAATGGTGGCACACACTGGGATGATAGGGCAGACTGAGTTAGATTCTGGATGTGTATTTTGGATGTATTTGAAGATACAGTCAACATGATTTCATGATGGATTGTTGGCACATTATAAAAGAAAGAGAGAATCAAGATATAATCTATTATGTTGTTTTTGTTTTGTTTTGCCTTGACAATTGAAAGTATTGAGTTGGAATAAGATCTGATGGTTTGGGAATAAAGATAAATATTTCAATTTTGGACATTTTTTACATGTCTATTATATCGACCTACAATAGGTACATGACAGCCTTCCTTGCTAAAACTGAAGAAGACTTACAGCACTTCCTGACAAAGATCAAAGACTTCCTCAGTATAAATTACATCTCAATATAAAGAAAACAAAAATCCTCACAACTGGACCAATAAGCAACGTATTGATAAATGGAGAAAAGATTGAAGTTGTCAGGGATTTCATTTGACTTGGATCCACAATCAACACCCATGGAAGCATCAGTCAAGAAATCAGACATCATATTGCACTGGGAAAATCTGCTGCAAAGGACTTTTTAAAGTATTAAGGAACAAAAATGTCACTTTGAAGACTAAGGTGTTCTTAACCCAAGCCATGGTATTTTCAGTCGCCTTGTATGCATGCAAAAAATGGCAACAAATAAGGAAGAATGAAGAAGAGTCGATGCCTTTGAATTGTGGTGTTGAAGGATATTGAAAATGCCATGGACTGCCAAAAGAATGAACAAATCTGCCCTGGAAGAAGTGTAGCTAGAGTGCTGTTTGGAAACGAGAATGGCCAGCCTTTGTCTCCCCTACTTCAGTCATGTTTCAGAAGGGACGGGTACCTGGAGAAGGATCTCATGCTTGGTAAAGTAAAGGGTCAGCGAAAAAGGAAAGATCCTTAACAAGACGGACTGACACAGTGGTTGTGAGGGTGGGCTCCAGCACAGCAAGGATGGTGAGGACGGCACAGGACCAGGCAGCGTGTCGTTCTGTTGCTCATGGGGTCACTGAGAGTCGGAGCAGATTGACAGCACACAGCAGCAATTGTATGAAGAGGACCTCTGGTGGGGTGGTGGATGGAGTATTCCATTGCCAACCCAGAGGTTGGTGATTCAAACCCACCAGCTGCTCTGCGGGAGAAAGATGAGGCAGTCTGCTTCCATATGATTTGCAGCCTTGGAAACCCATGGGACAGTTCTACTCTGTCTTGAAAGGCCACTGTGAGTCAGAATTGACTCAGTGGCAGGGTGTGGGTATTTTTGGCATTATTTCAAAATTGATATTTTTATATATCTATTTAAAAGAAGTTAGATATGACTCTGGAGTTTGGGAGAGGAATCTGGGATGGAGATTAAAAACTGTGGACCCATGAGTATATATAAAAATGGAATTTACAGCTGTAGGATTAGATGAGGTCACCAA